TGCAATCAAGAATTACATCAGTACATCTTCAACATAAGCAGGAAACAAATAAATTATAACAAATAAATTACACATTTACTTTTAGTTTCCCATAGTCTAATGACGGGAGAAAATTAGCTTGAATAGTAGCACTGACTTTCTTCTCAGTCCGCACCTCTATTCTTGGCATATGCCCCTAGCTCAAAGGAGGCAATGCAAGGTGATCCAAGTAAAAAAATCTACATAACCAAACACAATCAAATGTTTGAATAACGTAACAGTAAGGAATAAGTTTCAATAAGGTTGAGTAACATCACCTTAAGAAAAAGAACACATCTACCGCCACCAGGTTCATACCCTTTGTTCTCAAGCTTCTTGCTAAAGTCTCGCACGCAGTTCATCAACCAACTGTGTGCACATGACACCAATCAAAATCACTTGCAACAGCCCCAAGCGAAACAGCGGGTAATAAGGAAGTCGCCATGCTTTGATCATTCGTAGTTGGACATAACAGTAGTCCTAACACCACTATTAGAAATGCTTTCATTAACTGGTCCTGCTCAAAATCTATTTCAATTAGCATCAAAGCCAACTCATCAACTGCCTTATGTATCACAATCACAATATGACAGACGTCTTTTGAAGTTACCACCCCATAATCAGCAACAATACGATCAACTCTCTCTTGCATACTAGCATTCTGAACTCTAATCGGCACAGGGTTTGGACCACGAGGAAGACCAAATATGCACCTCCATTGTTCAGGGCATAAAGGTAACCCTTGTCATCTCCTCCAAAAAACATCTTCTTCTCAAGATCAACCCGGGACATAAGCCAGTAACAAAACTTACCATCCAACTTCGTTACTTTCAGCTTCAACAACCCTCCAAACCACTTTTCTCCAACAATTTAATTATTTTGCCATTTGTCCTCAACACCTTAATAACATCAACAAAAGCATCAACATGACAGTTGAAATTCGCTAGCTGATGACAAAATAAAATGCAAAGAACCTTTAATCAGCAAATATACATAAACCAAATGAATTGGACATGTTGAAATGCTATTAAATATTTACCTTCCAGCTGCAATTCCTCAACTGAGTCGCAACTACCACACCTTTCTTTTTTACCTTCTCCCCCAACAATAGGCCCGGTTCTTCAATAACGACCTACAATCAAATACATATTTATTATCATTTACCATTTAAAATCCACTAACTCATCTAACATCCAATTTGAAATTCCCTGTTACTGTACCTCTTCTTGTTCAACTACTACTGGCCGCTTTACCTTTCTCACAATCCTCAGCTGTTTTTGAGGGGGTCTACTGGGGGTTTTGGCGGCGGAACAACTTTACGCTTCTTATCAATATGAGTAACTACGTAATCTGACTCCTCCTCATAGTCAGCAACATTTAAATCATCTTCAGCATAGTGTTCTTCTTCCAACACATAGTTAGCATCATCATAATCTGACCCACTAATCATTCCATCAAAGTTATAATATTCACCATCCTCATCATCCTCAACAACTACAGCTTTCATTTTCTTTTTAGTGTTGGTCTGTTTGCTAGAAAAAGCAGCAATTACATGCCTCATGATTCATTTGAGGCTAGACTGCAAGTGGTACAGTGCAAAAGGATTCAATATATACATTCACTTATTACCAAACTTAACATAACCATATATAACTTAAATGATCAGAGAACAAAACTCATGAAATGTATAATCTTAAAAAAAATTACTCTCAAACATACTCTGTAACATACTTTATAGGGTTTAATTACTAATCACTCCCCCCCCCCCCCCATTTACCTCTTCAGCCTACTAAGGAGTCATTGAACTGCTCAGACACCAAGACTAACTACATTAGAACCACACACACACAAAAAATCAAATCATTAACTTCAACCACCAATTTACACACACACCAGAGCAGTTTACACACAAATCCAGCCACCACAAGATTTCCCAATTTAATGGACACAACACACCAACATAAACAAGTTCATACTAAGTTCAAACATGTTTATATTTACAAATATATCACTCTCACTAAAAAAAATAAACATCCACCGACAAAGTGGAATATAATGGTATCATATCAACATCAACAAGCCATAAGATGGTATCAGCGCAATACCAATTTCATAACTACGTAATATCAAAATTACAATCCACACCTACATAGAATTGGACACCCTTCTAAAACTCCAATTCCCATGACAACTACTAAGAACAATTACAGATTTACAATTCCACAAATACATAATTCGCAAATCACAACAAAACCTATTTAAACCTAAACAAACCAACAGCGAAATTGGACAAATAGCCCTAATTAATTACCCAAATTCACGAATTTTTTATTCAAAAAAAAAAACCCAAATACACGAAATTCAACAACCTTCAACGAAATTCAACAAATAAATTGGAAGATGTCGACATTTACTGATACTAAAAATTATGAAGCAAAATTTAGTTCAAAAAAAAAAACACGAAACAAGTACACGGAAATTTACGTCAGTTGAAATCGGTTACTCTGGGAAATTTCGGGAACAACGACGAACAAAGATCGGCAAATTCGTGCTCCCAAACCCTTGCCTGAACTTGGTATCGGAGAAATTCAGGTCGCAATTTTTAGGTTTTTCTTGTTTCACTTTGCTCTCCCTATGAAAATTTTTGGAAATGAAATTGCTTTCTCTCTCCTCCTCTCCCGCCTCAATACCCTAAAACCGTCTCATCTCCGCTTTTCATTTTAAATTTGCAAAAAGGACCTGACCAAGTGGGGCCCATGCCTTTTCAACTTTTCTTGTATTCTTTTTAATTAAAACAGGGGCATTATGCAATTACTTTTTTACCCCTAAGTTGGTTCTTTGTGGCCTCAACTTAGTAGAGGATGAGAAATCCTCTTTTAGGCTAACACGAAAATTATTTCATTTGTACTATTTTTTTATTGGAAAGGCATTTAAGCATAATGGTCCCCCTATCTCTAGATAACCAGAAGTTAAAACCATAGATGATAAAAACAAAAAGGAAAGAAAAAAATACTAACTAAACTAAATTAAATTTACAAAAAAACTAATCAATAGAAAATCAATGGTTATCAGAGGATTTAAAGTAGAGTGATGACCACTAAGGATTACAGCAAAAGGAATCGAGAAAGACAAGTAATTTCTAGAGTTTGTATACAAGAAGCCTCTTGTCGACAAAGAGGAATAACCACAATTAGACAACCCCTCACAACGAAGACAAAGAAACAACACCGAATCTTGAAGAGGTAAGGGATGTAAGGACAAAGGAGTAGGAAGGAAAACTTGGAATACCTTCTTTTCAAAGACAAAATATTTTCCTCATTTGGAAAAATAGTTTTCATCCTTACTAACCAAACAATAGAAAATGAAAAAAAAAATACTTTTCTTAAAACATGTTTTACAGAGTCATAAAATCAAATTTTTATTTTTTCGAAGCCAAATCAAATTTTTGTTTATACTACTTAATTGATGGATATTATAAGACATAATTTAACATAGTGAGTAATTTCCTCTCAAAATACAAACGGTAGATACTATTGGTTGAGTTAAACAATTTTTTAGAACTTTTTTTTTTTTAGCGGAAAGGAGAGGCCTCATGACCAATTTTGAAACATTTCTTTCTGTCCCTATTTTTTTTTTGCTCATTCTAAATAATTAGGTCAAAATTTTAAATCTTTGACCATAAATTCTCATTAATTTATAAGAGATAATATAGTCAAGAGCAAATTCAAGTTTATAACAATGAGAAACGTGGGTTGTTTACCAAGGGTCAGTTGTACTTTCATCTGGAAAAGTAAGGGCAATGGTGACATTTGGGATGAACGGTGTTAACTGTAGAATTGACGACGTTTGATGGTATTTACTGACATTTTCTCTCTCCTCCTCTCTCCTTTAATCACCATTAGAGTTGATTGAATCGGAGCACTCAACAATTGAAGCAAGACGCAACCCTTTCCACTTAGGGTTAACCATACCATTCTTTTTACCCTTTTTAATTAGGGTTTTTGCCGCCGAAAATGTGGTGGTGATAGTGGTGTTGTTGAGCTACTACAATGGAGCAGTAAAGCAAGAAGAAGGTGGAGGAGGAAGAAGTTGGAGAATGAAAAGGATGGAATAGGAAAAAGAAAAGGACAAAAAAAAAATGAAGAAGGTGGAGCAAGAAGAAGGTGGAGGAGCAATCGATTGCCGGCCGCTGGATTGTTGCTGCATCCATGAAGAAGATGGGGTCTTAATTATTGTCGGGCCTTTTTTTTTTTTTTACACTCTCTATTTTGAAAAAGTAACCCCATTTATTTCTAGACGTTAAATTGACGTTAAACATGGGTCCCTCATTGCATGTGACAACAGAGCCAAAAAAAAAAATTAAAGCCATTTTGTGGAAAACGAAGCAAAATATTTACTGAATTGCCATATTTACTTAATTGCCATTTGATAAACGTTTATCAAAGTGTGTAACCTGGGCTCCCTCTATAGCCAAGTGGGATCTAGTTGAATTCGTCTCATTATATATTTTATTGATATCAAGTTTTTATAATTGTTACGCACATAAAAATGAAGTTAAATACGTTATAAAACACGTATTGGGGACCGTGAAAAATTAAATGGAGCAAAAAATAGATACAATAGGAGTAAATAACTTCCATAAAAAGCAGGTTAACACAAGTCCATAACCTTTATTACATATGTTTGTTGTTATAAATTACAACGTTTCTCTTCGCCTACCAATGTATAACTTTAATCGTAAATATATTTAAATATATTTAACTATCAGTAAATAAAAATTATAAAAAGTTAATATTTTGACAATGTAGCTTAAAAATCTAAGAAGATACTTCATGATTGTTTGGTACACTTTAACTTAATATTTGTATATCAGTAATCCAGTATAATGTAAAAGGCCAGAAAAAGGTCATAGTAACCCCCTCCCCCCCCCCCCCCCCCCCCCCAAAAAAAAAAAAAAAAAAAAAAAAAAAAAAAAAAGTATATTGCCGAAATAGAAGTGTTGCAAACTTGCAACTAAATACAAACAGAGGATATAACTTTTGTCTCATATAAATAAACTTAGTGCCAAGGATTTCTAATTTGGCACCGTGAAAGTAGCTCAACAACAAATATAGAGTTGCTACAGAATCAGATTTGTCAACACCAAAATTCCTGATGACAAAAATAATGTCAATTTCCACAATCATCATGAAGATTCTCAAATCTGTGGTTTCAAGATGCTTATGCACCAACCAAATCAGACTACCATGTTCCAGAAACCCAGCAACAGATACAGAGAATAAAAAGGGTTATGCATCGATCACCAGACAAGGTCTATCAAGGACTCTCCTCTCCAGCAGTTTAGACGAGTAAAGCAGAAAAACGAACACTGAAATGAATTTGAAACAACAGTTGTGGCACCTGCAGATTCCTTCAAATTGAATCAAAGTCAGTCAAAGAGCTGAGGCAAAGGGCAAAGGCAGGCAAGATTAAACAGAACTGTCAAAGGAAAATTAATCCTGTTAATTTCAATGGCAGAATAAAAAAATTGCATATTGATTCTCAATTTATCAATGCGTATTCAAAGGAATTAAGCCATACATATGTTCCCTCTTTGGGATATTATTTGCGAATTAAAAGTTGAGATTGAGAAATTGAAATAAGTATATACACAAAAGTTCTTGTGATCTGGTATGCTGCTTCTAAGCATTAAGGATTTGCAGCAATCTTCCTAGCCTAGCCTCAGACTAGAGCCCAATTAAAAGCCTAAACTTTGCTTGAGGAAAGATTACATGTGTCATGCAGAGCAAGAAATTCAAAGGCTTGACCTACGTTAGGTACTAGTGTCAGACACGGTTACATGTCCAACCCTCAGGTTTGGCTACTTTTTATATTTAAGAGAAAATATATATATATATATATATATATATGTTTTTGGTCAAAATCCCAACACGGTTACTTAAGGTGAAATGAAGGATTTGAGTAAAGTAGTCTACAACATTATGAAAACTATAACTTCTCTAGCAACTTGCAAGTCATCCAAGTCTAAGATTTTTGAAGATATAAACTCAGAAGTTTAGCTATATTTCTGAAGTTCAATCCATATACTATAAGATATAAGACAAACTAATTAACAGATCAGCCAACTGATTCAAGTTTTGCAAAGGGAAACAAAACATTTGACAGTAATAATTACTTAATTTGCCTATGCCCATTATCTAAATGTCAGCTTCTGAATGAGAAAATCCCTAATATGAATTGCCAACAATCATCAGCTCAAGATCAATAAATTCGAGTGCATTCACTATTAGCATGATTCATGAAGCATCCCAAGGAAAATAAAAGTTTTGACACAGGCAAACCAGATACAACACAACTAATTTGCCGATTAATCTTGATATTTGTGAACCAGAGGTGCTTGATTCCATTTTGGGGGGTCACTATTTGTAGCCATCAAGTGAAACTACATGCAAGAAGTAACAAATACTTCGTATGTTTCAAAAAGAGACGGGACAAATTCAGCACCGCAGAATTAATGCCTGCTTGCTTCAGGAAAGATAAAGAAAAATTTGTCAACAAGAGAAAAGACACAAGTACACTGCCATAATTCCTGTACACTGATACCTAGGCTCAGATATGGCATAAGGGTATGCAGCTCAGGAATTGATTCATGAGTTTAACAGGTTAGAATAATGAACACCTTTAAGAAGTAGTCAGAATTTCAGAAAAGGGATCTGGACAAGGGGGAATGAAATTAAAAGGGAAAAGGTACACTTCAGAAACCTTTTAACTTTTTTTTTTTGTTTTTTTTTGTTAGTTTATAGGGTGGTTTTAGTGGTTTTTTTAGGGGTTTATTTTTTCATTTTTTGTGTTGGGTGGGTGACAGTGGTGGGATACGTGCTTTTAGGGTTTTTATCTTTTGTTTTTTTGATGGTGGTGGACGGCGGTGGTAGGTTGGGGGGCGTTAGTGAGGGAGGTGGAGGAGGGAGATGGCGGTTTCGGGTGTGACTGTGTGAGGGCTGGGGCAGTGGATGGGGGTCGGTTTTTTTGTTGTATTTTTTTTTTTTTTTTGTATTTTCTTTTGGGGTGGGTATACCAACGGACAAAAGTCGTCGGTGGGTGGTTGTATATCGACAGTTTCCGTAGACGGTTCGAATTCTCCAACGATTTATAGGTTTTCTTCTTACTGACAAATTTTCCATACAAATTGAAAAAGAATAAAACATAATACTAAGCCCTAATATTTTTACTTTAGTCACACAATAAATTTTACATTTTAAAATATTGTCATTCTTCACATTTCTAGCACCTTCTACTTCTTTATATTTCTTCGTCAAAAAGCTCAATCTGAATATAGCCCCTCTATGACCAAAGGCGGGCTACAAGAATATAAACCAATGTTGCCTCAATGCAAGGATCAAAAGCCTTGAAGCCTCACACTTTGCTAGGGATTAGTGGCTCCATTACAGGGCCTAAGTTATAAGATGTAAATTTTAGATAGAAAAGGGAACTTTTATGACTTAATCTTCCAGAAGATCTATAATTATCCACTTACAGGTCCATGGATTAGGAGGTGCTAGTTGCACTTTTCATATTCACATGACTATAATGGGCCAAGTCAGGTCGAAATGAGTAGGGGCAAGACAAAGTGGAGAGCTCATGCATCATAGCCTATTTAAGAGGATACCGGCCTGGCAAGGTAAAGGTAGAGGCCTTGGGGAGAAGTGGAGTACACAAATCTCAGAAAGAAAGGATGCAGAAAGGCTAATTTTAGTTGGCCTTTAATCCAAAACAGATAAGTGCAAATTGACAATAAGAGAGAACAGAAGATTTCAAGAGCTACTTGTATGACATGCATAACAGTCTAAAAGGCTAAATAAGTACGTTTTACACCTATTTGAGATGGACAAGGTAACTTTTCTGACAACTTCAGCTTTTAATTCCAAAAGGCTAGGGGGCATTGGTTTGGCCATATTGTGTTTTGAGATTACTGCACAAACCGCAATTTAATGTGGAACAGATGCTCATTGATTCTGATTTTCAGTTTAATACAAACTGAGATATTTGCATGCCAAACGTGCTCCAATATCAGTCAATCATAAGCCTGGATATTCAAGCAAATATAAATACATAGTTACATACATAGGGAACATTACCTACCCAACCACAAAGACTTCTAACTTAAGAGCTACTTACAAAAATTTATGTACATTCATTCCAGTCACAGCCACGGCCAGATAGCCTCAACAGAAATAAGTCCTATCTTAAGCTAGTCATGATATCCAGAACCTCTACATAAGAGATCACAAGAAACTTAATTCTCGCCTGATAGAAACCTAACAAGATTTATAAACTACCGGGGCTGTGGATTAATGACATCAATTTTGCATGATCAGATTCTAGGTACACCATCCATTTAATTATACTATAATCTGCTCACTTCGCTAGACGCAAGCCCAAAAATTGTTATTTATCAAGAATGAATCCTGTATCATCAGCTGTGAAAGAATAATGAATCCAGATTAATTATCCAAATTGCTAACTATTGATAACTGGAACCACAGAGGAGACAACCACACATCTCATGTGTTCATAGGACTCCCTACGTAAAGTAATCAGGCCCAACCACATTTGAGAATGTGCTTTAACACCAGTAAGAATGTAAGATTACGATCTTGAATCAGTAATACACCTACCGAATACAGAAAACTTCTTGATAAGCATGAACACCTCAAAAAGATGTATATCTACAAGAAAAACATATTTGCAAAATGTAACATCCTAATTTTTGAACAATTATCCACATTAAAATGACCCACTCTCCCGTCACAATCTCATACATACACATAGAGGTAGATGTAAATGACTCAAATTTATAAGTATATCAGAAATGCCAATATTTTTTGGCATTATCAACAAATATCCTAACCCGACAGCCTGGGGCCTAAAATACGCTTCTATAGTTCTATATACTATGCAGAATGCATTATCAAAGGATTAAAAGCTCAATATCCAAGCATTTTTCCAAAGAATAAACTGGAGATGCCCAGTGGCAAACAAGCAGGCGAAAAAATAAAGCAAAAGGATCAACAGATATATCACATATATGTCTAAGGAGACCAAGAGGAAGAAAGAAAGGGAGGAAAAAAAAAAACTCCTAACCTGAAAAATCACAGTTACTTGATGGAAAGGATGTAGCCTAACAATCAAAGTGGAAGGCATGGACACCGCAGGCTCCACGATAAAGTGTCACCTGTCCATAGTGTTTTAATTGTATAAGTTATCAACCAAAGAACTCCAAAGGAATGGCAAAAAATAGGAAGGAAATAGCAAAAAAGATTAAGATAGCCTACCTAACACTTTTGCGGGATTTAATAATGCTTTGGTGCCAATCTGAATCATTTAGAATGATAAATGCACTTTCGATGACACCGCTATAATATATGATAAAAGAAAAGTGCACCGTCAAGGCGTCAATACATTTTTGTTCCCTTATGGTTTCAACATGCTTTGCATCACAGTCAACCACCTTCATCGCTTAATAGATCATAAGTAAAATTTGCCACTAGAATGCCACAACAATATACACAAGCTTATTTCAATCAACTTATCAACATGTTGACCAGTTACTCTGAACTAAAAAAAACCTCGTCGTAACCTTTGCAACATATAGGGCACATGCAGAATAAAATTAACATGTGAAACCAATTTCTTCCCAAATTCAAAAGGCACATGGATGACCCGCATCAAAGCACAGGCACAGATTCTCTTATCAAGGTGCAAACTAAAACTCAAGGCTGCTAAAAGCCTTTAACCAAAAGCAGGAGCCAGGAATTTGTTTTTAGTCACTGGATCCTCATGCAAAAGCACAACATCTGTCAGCTTCTCGAACAATTCCTCCAGCTCATTTACCCCAAACTTTCGGTAGTTTAAAGGCTTCTTGTACCTTTGCTGGTATATATTTTCAAAATAACTCAAAAATATCCCACATGAATAGCTCACTAATATCTCCTCCAGCTCATGCTTAAACTGCAACAAGTTCTGGTCTTCTAGTGCAAATAGTGCTGCTGTACTCAAAGTTGAATTGTCTGCAGCACTTCTTCGCTCTTGATCTTCTACAACCACTCTCTCATCATCAGAGAACTCATCAGATGAGCCACAAATAGCATTAGCTTCCATATTCTCTTCCTGAACTTCTTTCCCTTTCTTATTACTCTTTGGTGCAAGTGAAGGAGCACAAAGGCCTGCCCTCACACTCTGAAGGTACACAAACTTCTTCTGACCCTTCCCCTCTACAGTAATCACATCTGACATTTTCTTGAGGAGATTCACAAGCTTGCACGCTCCATACTCTGCAATGTAAAGAGGCCGACCAAACACCTTTTGGTATTCCGCAGGAATACGAACCAGGGGTATACATCCACCAGAAAATTCAAGCAGTTTTACTAATTGTGCCTTCAAATTGTTTACATCGCCAGGTTGTACTTGTACCCACCGATTTGAACTATTTTGGTCAATTACAGCAATAGAACCTGTTGTAGGGCCTGAAACCTCATTCAAACCAGAAGAAAGAGAATTTGCTCTTAGTGACGTGGTAAAGGCAGGCAAACCAGCTGAAGTGCAAGTGTTATACTCAGATATAGACTGAGAAACTATTGTAAAATCCCTTGAGTTGTAATAGCTTTGCGAAAGTCCTCGATAGACAATTGCTTCCTCGTCATTTCCATCAATATTCTCACTTATATGGAAACCCGTCAAAAACCCAGCATTATCATATCCCCCACGAGGGTCCAAATTCGGAGGCACATAACCCTCTCCACGTGCAACACTAGGCCAATCCCAGACAAACCTACCAGCATTACACAAGGCAGATGAAACACCCACTCCTGAAGGAATAACAAGGATCACAGTATACCCACGTTGACCAAGAATGTGCAGAGCAGGAGCAAAGTCCACATCCCCCGAGATCAGCATGATGGAGGAAGGTGGGGAATTGTCAAGGGCAAAAAGAAACATGTCAACCAAAATAGCCTTATCAGCGGCATCTTTTCTCCCATTCGGAACATCCACAAGTTTAACTCCTGTCCTCTGGCACCCTTCTCTAACTCTCCTGGGAAATGCATTAAAGTCCCCATATGCAGAAAACAATGTAACAGCACCTTGAATTACAGGATGGACCCGTAATGCCATTCTGATGTTCCCAGCAACATCTTCAGGACGGACATCACTAGGGACAGGGCAGTTCTCAATATCCCACAAAATAGCAACAGGACCTGGGGGGGAAATTCGGCTTGGGGGGCTGCCAGATGGTTGTGCCACATTATTATTAGAGTTGGGCACATTTGCAGCACTTCTCTCCAAGCTATCTGAAGATACTCCCCATGATGTCATGTTTGAAGTGGCAAGCATGGTTCCTATGAGAGGAAATCTGCAATAAACTAGAAAATTTATATTATAACATAAAAAAAAATAGAAGAAAAACACTCTATGCGCAAGATGTAAAGAGAAGTACATCAAAAGAAAACTAAAAAGCTATTGACTTTTCCAGCAAATTTGAACCATGTGATTAAGATAGAATGCATGTACATTACTACTTTCGTCTCTAAATATTGTTCCTGTCTAAATGGTGATTGCCTCACAAAAAGAACTTTTAGAAACGATGAGACTATTAGAGAAAAGAAGAAGCGAATGTCTATAGATTTAAACACCCCCTCCCCTGAAAATTCATGATAAAAAAAAGCGGGAGGACTGAGGAGGGGGTGCCAAGATTTATGACTTATGAGTAAGAGTAAAACCCAACAATCCATAGCAAGGTTCAAGAACAAACTTGAACTCGCTAGAATTATAAACGTACAAAAAATCACATCCTTGGCAACTCTATTTGGTCACACAACTTCCCTCAAAGTCCCATTTCTTGAAATTCACTAGTTATTTCAACACTTATGCTAATTAAGAAAACCTAGGCCACCCTTTTCCTTTAATAGGACTAAACTACCTACAGCAAGGCGGCTACAAATATCGGCAATTAACGGAACATTCAACAGCATACAAGGCTTTAATATTCTTAAAATGTCATTTTCCTAGCTACAGCAATCTAGGGAAGCCTCAACCCAATCAAAATAAAAAACACAAAACTACTCCTCCACAATAATAAACTACTTGTATCTTAATTCCAGTATCATCAACTTATGAGTATTCGATATCAATCCAAATCAATATGCATTAAGATCATAATACAATCAATACAATACTCCGTATAAATTACTATAATACTTGTACATAATTAGAAATAATAAAGTAAATATCTTCAAATAATTTGCTACAAATACTATCTGCACAATCAAACACTACTCATGAATTAAGCAAAGAAAAGTCGAATAAATCATGATATAATTACAGAATCAAACATTTAACCAAACAAAACAAAGGAATCAAAGAAAATTTATATTATACGATCTACCCAATTGAATATAATAAAATCCGAATTCAAAAATTAAAACAAGATCCATTTGATTAAGTGATTAACCAAAAATCAAAAGTTTGTAAACACAATTAAATCAGTCAAGAATTCACTAAAAAATCATAAGCAAAATTAATTAATGAAAAATAAAAGTTGGAAAATAAGGAGCTGAAAAAAAAAGTAGAAGAAATGAGAGAGGTACCAGGAGGAGGAAAGAGAAAGAAGTGACTTGTGGACGAAGGAAGGATTTCTTCAGAGCAACGGCGAGAAAGAAAGAAAGAAAAGATAGTGGTGGGAAGTTTGGAGAAAGAGAAAGAGAGAAGGTGATGATGATGACCAAGACTTCTTTCACTTGTCACCGACCCCCGTTTAAGAAAATCTGTATTGAAATGCTAATTAGAGTTAGGGATGTTAGGGGCGGGGCGGTAGAATTTGTTATATACATCTAGATGTACCGTACATCCGAGGCTATTTGCTTATTTAATCAATAAATGAGCAAATAATATTTTTACTCATTTGTTGATTGAATGAGCAAATGAATCCGGGTGTACAGTACACTCGGGTGTACATAATAGGCTCTCGCGGGACAGGGCGGAAATTGACATTCTTATCCCCACCAAACATTTTCATCCCCATCCCCATTCCCGCGGCGGGTCCAAAATTCATCCCCATTCCCGTCCCGACGGGTACAATTCCAAACTCATCCCCACTCTACCTCCACTTGGATATCCACCCCCACCCAAGACCCGCCTAATCTCCGCCTCCCCCAAATACTTCATAATATAGATTACAACTAAAAAAAATAAAATTGTTAATGTTACATTTTTTAAAAATAATATTAGTATAAAACAATGTATTATATTTACTACTTTGAATAGGGCGGGTACGAAGTGGGCGCGTGAGGCGGGGCGGGATGGCGCGAGTACAACCTAGAATCCACCCCCGCCCCATCACACATGCGCGGGTAAAGTTTTTTTCCCCATCCCCGCCCCACCACCCATCAAACCAGGATCCATCCTCGCCCCATTGGGACGGGGATGGGGTGGGTTGCTTACTTGACTCGCCCCATTGACATCCCTAGTGGTAAACAACTTGATGTCACTTAAGGGAGGTCTCGGAGAGGAAAGAAATAATAAGAAAATAAGAGTATTACTAAGGGTGAGCAAAAATTCCGGGTACCCGAAATTGGATCCGGAATCCGTTAGGAACCGGCAGGTCCAGAACCGAATTGGACCCGGTAGTTCTAATTCTGGGTAATAAATTAAGGAACCGGTTAAAATTGGTTCCAATTCCAATTCTCAACTTTTTGGAACCGAAACCGGTTGGATACCCGGTTACCCAATATATACTAAACTAAATATATTTTAAATAATAAAAATATGTTGAATGTATCTAGTTAGTATAATAATAAAAAAAATAAATAAAAAAAAAAAGTATTATTACTACCTAACATAAACACAAATAGCTTTATGTATATATAAATATAAATATTAAACGCTAAAAATGAAAATAACTGGAATAATTATTATAATTTGTATTATATTTTAACAATTACATACATGAGTGGGTACCCGGAACTGGAACCGGCACCCGGTGGTTCCAATTACAATTCCTAAATTTTAGGACCCGATTGAACCAATTTCAATACCGATTCCGAATTTTAGGACCCGGTCCCAACCAATTTCGGATTCGGTTCCTAAAATTTTTACCAGATACCCAGTTTGCTCACCCCTAAGTATTACCTCCGTTTTATAATTATTACAATAGTTTGACTTTTGCACTATCTATATACATACTTTGACTATACTTATACCAATATATGAAAAACATATGTTACCATGTAAAACATTGTTGGATCAGTCTTTATGATTATTTTCATTATATAGACCTTTTATACTTCTTACAAATGTTAAAAGTCCAAAGTTTAAATAATGGTTAAAGGTGTGCATTGGCACATGTGTCGGCAAGGTATTGTGATTGTTATGAAACGAAGGGAGTAAAAAATTATGAAAAACATATGTTACTATGTAAAACATTGTTGGATCAATCTTTATATATATTTTCATTATATAGACCTTTTATACTTCGAAAGATGTTAGGGGTACACTTGGTGTACAAGATTCCCAATTGGTTGAAAGGGAATTTTTTTATTTTTTTTTATTTTTAAGTGGGTCATCCTTCTCTTCATGTGAATTTCAAACCTTATTTCTGAAAATTTAAAGTTTGAATTTCAAATTTAACCCTAAACTTTCAACTACCTTATTCAATTAGTATATAATCCCCCCAAAAAATTGCCTCTGATTTTTTTCCCCTCATTTTTTTTCTCTCCAATTTTTTTCTCTCTCTAGTCTTTATAGAGAGCAAATACAATTGAAGATCATTCAAGATTTTGGGAACTTAAGTTGCGACATGTGATGGTTTGTCGGTGCGAGTGTTGCTCATTACTTCACCGTTAATTTTTTCTTCCTCGGCGTGGTGACCAAACATTCGCCGGTGCTTATAACTATTAAGAGTAATTTTGATGTTAATAATTTTTGATAAAAGAATGTTATAACCTGTTATTATAATAATTATTTTAATACAAATTTGATTGATACGGATGAATGTTGTAAACATTTCGTAGAATTTTTTTGTCAGAATTTGGTGTAATGTTGTTGCTGGAATTGTAATTGGACACAAAACCATTGCTGGTATTGTAATTGGACACCAAAGTTTTGTCGGAATTATAATAGACACCAAACCATTTTGATAAACAGATATACTTGATAAATAAATTTCTTTACACCAAATGAACGTGTTGATACCCCTTAGTTCAATGGTCTAGTTAACATGCCTGCCCTTGTGTTATGATGGATATTGGTCCTGTGTTCAATTCTTGTGGAGGTACAAAGAAATACTTTTTTTTTATTTTTTTATTTTGTATACATTTTCATTTAAAGTTATCATTTTTGTATTTAAGAAATCAAAATTAATTATCATCATCTTTTTAAAATCATATTTGTATTTATAAAATCGACACAGACACCATATTTCAAAGTGAATCTTTATATGTGTATTTTAAAGTTAATAAATCAAATAAATCTTTTTATTTTAACTGTTTTACATGTACATAATGTTGTATAATGTGTCCAATCAATTTTTGGGCATAAATTATTTTCTGCAAAAATAAAATAAAATAATAAGCCATGAAATCTAGTCCAACGGATACAATGTATAAATTAAATTGTTTTCATTCAATGTATGTTCTGATACCCCTTAGTCCATTGGTCTCATAAACAAACCCTTTGAGTATATATATATATATATATATATTCTAATTTTTCATTTTAAGTATCATTTTTGTATTTAAAAAATCAAAAATTATTAAAATCAATTTTAAAGGAATCATATTTTTATTTATAAAATTAAAACTTACACCGTATTTCAAAGTTACTTTCTATATGTGTATTTCAAAGTTAAAAAATCAAATAACTCTTTTTATTTTAACTGTTTTATACATATATTATGTTGTATAATGTGGCCCAACAAACACCATATATATTTGAAAGTTACTTTCTCCAAAAAGGCAGTGTACCTCTATTTTTTTTTTATTTGTTTGTCTTTTTGTCAGTACATGCATCTTGCAGTTGACTTGTCGGAAAAAATATATATGGCTTGTTTAATTAATTCATTCAGAAAAAAAAACACAAATATAGCCTTGTTTACTTATTTAAATGTAAATGGCCGAGTAGAATTCAATAAGTCGTACAATCTGGCATGGTGGGAGGCTTGTTTATTATCCTAGATTGCATTATAAAAATGGAGGAAACATGGTTGTTAAAATCTTTGAGCATGATTTTGTTACAGAGAAATTGGGTGCCATTATTCATGGGCTTGGATATGAAGGATTTAATGTTAGTTATATTCCTTCATTAGATTGTCCCATGAGTGAATTACTTGATCTAGCGGATGAGGATGATTTCAATAATTTGAAAAAAGTGGCATTATCAAATTGATCTGTGCACATGATCATCACACATAAGCAGCAATTGAAGGGGGAGGTTCGTAAACCACAAAAACATATGGCGGTTCGAAAACAGCAGATGGGCTTTGCCGTTTATAGACACCAAAAAATGTATCCCTGACCAAAGTCCGATGACGAAACAATCTCTCATTGCCTAATTTAGTCTGGTTAGTGTCATGGATCTAAGAATTACTTGAACAGTGTTTTTGTTCTAGCCCTAAATTATTTTTAAAGCCATTTTATCCATTTCGTTAGCCCAAACTTAGCCCATTTTCCCTTTTCACAACTTCAGTCCCAAAACCGGTCAAAACTGAAATTTGTGCCTCATAATTTTTATCAAAATCTTAAACGGTTGGATAGCCCTTTAAATAAGCTTCCTATTGATATATCATAAGCCCAATTCCGATTAGAAACGAAAAAATATGATTAAAATACCAAACTCTATTCAAAACTGACACCGTTCCACTATTTTGATCATATCTTAAATTTTATAAAAGATATCAATCTGATTCTAATTGAGTTGGAATGTAGACTTCCAGAGCTTTTTAAAGATATATTTTTATCTTATTCCAATTTCTGGATCAAAAGCTATGATAAAAACAAAAACCGTAAAACTATTGTCTCTTGCTACGCATTTTCGAAAATCTATCCTCTTTCAATAATCTATCTTCACCCGATTTTAAGCCTATAAATACCATCATTATTTATGATTTTTAGGAGGAGAATTTGACAAAAATACAAATATTTTATCAATCCCAATTCATCCCAAAAGGCTTAAACTTAAAGCTTCGACGTAGAATCTCTATTGTTCTTAGCGTTATTTCTAATCTTATTCAAGTAATTCAAAGTCTAAAACAAGATCCGAAGGTTCTAACTTTTTTGACCAAGGCGTGAAGGTATAATCCCGAGGGTGATATTAATTTCTCTAACTCTTTAATTTAATTCTTGTGAATTATTATTTTTATTGAAATTACTAACAATTTATTCATGATGTAGTGTTCAAAGTTGCACATTCGGAGTGATTATTAATTCTTTGTTTTATTTACTCTAATTATTTTAATTGCTTTGATTACTAGCATCATGCCTAGGATCTTACTAGTAACGATGTTTTTATGATGATTATGATGTTAATTATATGATGCTTGATTATCAATGATTTGTTGTTATTGCTTGATCACGCCCCTTCTTGCAGGTTTAAAGGGAATTTTTATTTGAAATAACGCCTAATAAGATAATTAATAATTGGATTTTGGTTTAATATGATTTTAATTCAAGTGATCACAAGTATTAGATTTAACTGTGCATTAATAATCAACCGACGTAGATTAAACAGGTTTAGGATTAATTTGATGTATGTATGTTGATCGAAAAGTGAACAAGAATATTAATAAGA